CCACTGCAAACTTCGCCGGCAAGGCTTTCTCTGTGGTGGGCCAAGCAGCTTCAGCACTGCACGTGATGGCGATACTTCAGGTGTATCAGGCCAAGCTGTTCAAGTCTCTGGATGAGGACGGGCCGGACCCTGAAGTGTTCAAAGAGCTCCGACGCGCCACGGATCTGGCCCTCAGAGTGACGGTGGTGACAGCTCGAACGATCGGCCGCAACATGGGGAATCTTGTGGTGCTAGATCGTCACCTGTGGCTTACTCTGACAGAGTTAAAAGACTCTGAAAAAACGGCCTTTCTGGACGCTCCCGTGAATCCCTCAGGTCTCTTCGGAGCAGTGGTAGAGACGTTCACGTGCAGAAACAATCGAAGGCTATTAAGCACTTCCTGCCAAAGCGCGCCAGCGCGAACTCTCCTGCGCGTTCCCGCTCCTCCTCAGCGCAGCGCACGGGAAGACCGCACGCCTCTTCTGCTGCTGTTCGGCGAGAACATGAGCTGGCAGTGAGACCAAGACAGCCTTGGCTGAAGCGCCGTCAGGGCTCGAAGGGCCAGAGACCCCGCCCTGACAGAGACGGCAGGCCACTGGTACCGGAATCAAAGCCGCATTCCTGATGCTGTCTCTCGGAGGAGGAAATCTGCACGCAGTGCCGAAGACGAGCCACTGAAAAAGTCTGCGAATGCCTCAGTTCTGCGAGAGGAAATACACAACCTCCTCGCAAAACGCGCTGTAGAGACAGTGCCCCTAGCAGACCGCGAGAGCGGCTTCTACAGTCGCTATTTTCTGGTACGAAAGACGGCAGACTCCGCCCAATCTTGGACCTGAGACCACTGAATCGCGCACTTTCGAAGCGCTCGTTCGAAATGATTACGCTGAGACAAATCCTCTCACACATCAGACCGAGAGATTGGTTTATCTCTGTGGATTTAAAGGATGCTTACCTAGCTCAGGATCTTAGAATGCCAAGTTGCTTCAGTCAAGATTCTGAATAGATGACGTACAAGCGCTGCTTTATATAGAGTGGGAGCCCCTCATATTTTGCACGCTTGAACGCCATTGGCCAGTTTCACTGGCGTGATTCAATAAGGCTTCAGTAGTATTTGGAGGAAAGGGTAATTCCCCATAGCAATGTCTCGTTCCAACATCTCAGGGAACCGAGGTTACGTGAGTAACCGAGAGCATTTCTAAAGCATGCAGTGCCATCTGCTGTTCAAAACTAAGCTCAAAATTGTCTCAAGAAAGAATCGCGATGCATTCGGAAAATCTCAGAATCGATGCTGAATCATTTCTCAATTCGCGATGCATTGATTTATTTTCCCAGCCCTAATCAACATCACCAACACTATCACAATCACAATCACAATCATCATTACTATAATGGAATCAAAGGCATCACTAATCACCATCACCATCACTATCACAATCACATCACAACATCATCATCACCACCACCACAATCATCAATATCACTGAATCAAATGAATCACTATGGCCATCTCCACCACCACCACCACCACATCACAACTAGGGTTGGGGTCCATTCATAAAAACGTAATTTACTCTATAGCGCGGAATGCCACGGAATTCATCAATTTTTGACGAATAAATCAAAAGTTGGTCTGCCACTTAATTCGAATCGCTAGTGTCCGTGAATATTAAAATGCAAAAAGACAGTTTAAATATGAATCCTGCATGTTCCGCTTGCCTCTGTATGTATGAATGGCGGAAACGCGGTTTTGTTTTCTACACAAATACTGAAGCACGTGTGACGCTCGCGGTGATTTTCGGCCTCTGCGTCTCATTATATGACAGCATGAACACAAAAACTTAATCCCCAGAGCTGCTGTGAGAGTCACTTCGTGAGAATTTTACGGTTTCATTTGAGAAAACTAGCATCATCATACTGTATACACACAGAAACTTCATGGCAACCTGTCAAAATAAAAGTACAGTTTAACATGTAACAGAAATATATCACTCATGTATTACTTTTGTAAAGTATGATGTACATCTTTAAATATTCCATTTTCTATCAAATTTAAATAAAACAATTAAATGATAAAAATAAACATTACAACTAGATTAATCACATAATTGTAGAAAAAAAGAATACAATTATTAGCCTATTAAAAATGTTTTAAAGGAATATTCACACAATTTTTCTTTCATGTATTAATTTCAACATTTATTTTTTTTGGGTTTGTTTATTTAAACTATTATTATTATTATAAAATTATAATATAATAATATATAACTATAAAATTATTATTTAATTTTTGGTTTGTTTGCCAAAAAATAAAAGGGTTTAATTTTTATTTGATTTAAAATAAATGTTTAAAAAAAAAAAAAAAAGTTTGTAGGGCCCTATTGTTCAAAATGCTGAAATTGAGACTTTTGGACTTATTTTTTCACTGAAATAAATGTTTTTGTAATTACACAGAGAGTAAAGTACCGAAAAAAGGTACCGTTGGGTAACGGCACTGAAATTCAGGTACCGATACCGGTATCGTACGGGTTAAAATGTGAACGGTACCCAACCCTAATCACAACATCATCATCACCGACATTATCACAATCATCACCACCACCACAATCATCATTACTATCACTGAATCAAATGCATCACTAATCACCATCACAACATCATCACCAACACTATCACAATCATCATTACTATCATCAAATCAAATGCATTATTATCATCACATCACTAAAACTATCAAAATCACCACTAAATCATCACATCACCTCCATCATAATCATCATCATGGTCATCACACCATTATCATCACCCCCACAACATCATGACATCAACATCATCACCATCATCATCATGACCAATATACCGTTATCAACACAACACCATCAACATTCCCACAATACCATCACATTATCTCCCCATCATAGTCACCACTGTCATCACCATTACATTACTATTATGAAATCACAATCATCATCACCTTTGAGAGAGCAGGGGACGGTGATCTTGATGAAGCTAGCAGGATTGTCTTCTAGAGACAATGCCTCCACCAGACAGTAAGCTTCAGCAGACCAGCTTAGATAGATACCCTTCCTCCAGTAGATCCTGTTTGGTCTCAATGCTTTTTCTGCAGAGTACACACACATTCGAAACCACCTCAATTCTTATTCATTTGACAGACCCAAGCAACTTACAGTGCATTCAAGCTATAATTTTATAATACATAGTATTAGTATGTTTGTACCTTGGGAATCAAACCTATGTTCGTGCCATGGCAAATGCAATGTTCAACTAGTTACAAGAATTGTATTTATGCTGACTTCCAGTGTTTGTGTTGTGTTACCTTTGCCGTAGAGCAGGAAAGCAGACACTTCCAACAGACGGCTGATCTGTCTGGACCAGAAACCCATGGGGAAGTATGGCATCTCATAAAGCCGAACAATCACCTCTGAATTCTCACAGTGAGGAAGCTCAATCACCGGCCTTTGATCTGACAGGCTGGGGACATATCAAACATTTCAAATTACCACCATACAACACTCTCTATCATTTTAATTTAAAAAGAGGTCCTATCACTACCTGCTAGGTATAAGTAACTGGTCATCTCCGAAGGGAAGAGCTATTTGAAACTTTTCCAATAGTTTGAAGTACTGAGTCAGATGATCCTTTGGGAAACAGCGACTTTTGTTCAGAAACTTTTCTACAGTGGTTCGCGCATCTCATAAAGCCGAACAATCACCTCTGAATTCTCACAGTGAGGAAGCTCAATCACCGGCCTTTGATCTGACAGGCTGGGGACATATCAAACATTTCAAATTACCACCATACAACACTCTCTATCATTTTAATTTAAAAAGAGGTCCTATCACTACCTGCTAGGTATAAGTAACTGGTCATCTCCGAAGGGAAGAGCTATTTGAAACTTTTCCAATAGTTTCAAGTACTGAGTCAGATGATCCTTTGGGAAACAGCGACTTTTGTTCAGAAACTTTTCCACAGTGGTTCGCTGCACCACTCCTCTAGTGCTGTCCCACTGACCAGTGCTCCTCAGAGTGAGCGTCTGTCAATCAGCACAACAGATGAGACATTACTGTTATGAATGAATCACAAGTTGGAGCAAGGTGTGTGTGTGTGAGTGTTTAACCTGTGAGATGATGTTAGAAAGCCATTGTGGGTCAATGAAGTACAAATCCTTTAGCTGAAGCACTGGATCATCAAAGTGCAGCAGGACACCTAGAGACAAACACAGACAGAAGGTCTGTTTACAAGGTTAAAACAATAACTCCAATATGTAAAAAGACAACTGAAAACTAGCAAAAATGCATAACCAGTTATGTATGGTGAAAACTTTCCTTCACAGGACAACACATTGAAATCTGACGCTTACATAAAAATCAACCCTTAGGAACATGCAAGTGCCCAAAACTGAAGAAACAACCAAATACTGGACATAAACAGCAAGAAGACATCAGAAAGGGATTCAGGAGTGAAACAACTCTCACCAGCCTCGCTGAGGAAGTGGATAGCGTGGGGTAACTCTCCCTCCTCTAGCTGCAGCTGTGTTTCCTGTATGATCTCCAGCAGTCTGCTGTGTCTGAGCACTGGGAAATCAGTGGGTACATGTGACCTCTCCTGTAAAAGTCTCCTCTCCAACTCCACATAACAGTCTGGAATCAGTTGCCCCATTACCGGCTGACCCTGGATCTGCCAATGCCACACACACAATTCATTAAATAAATACAATGCAATGAAAACCAGTTTGAAAGACATGATCACCCTTGTGAAAAATAAGTACACTTTGGCATACTTTAATAAGAATAACTGTAAATAACATTCGGTTAC